GATCAGCATATATGTCATCTGTCCTATATTCTTTCTTGGTTTCTTTTTTTGTGCCCACAGTCAAGATTTTTAGGAGGTCTCCCCCAGGCAAATCTTATCTTCATTAATTTTGAAAAGAACCATAACTTTTTGTTTCCTGTGGAAGCAAAGGCATACCCTCTCCCCAAATACAATATATTTTCTGACTTCCATTCTAAAGTTAAGACATTCTTAAAATATATAGGTTGGTTTAATTGAGCAGTTTCCAATGTCTCTTAGCAGCTATTGTTTTCTTGTACACTAGCATTTTAATATTTCAAAGTCAACAGAGAATCCTACAGGAACCAGACACCCTGTGTATTTCCCATCTTTACATGGCTTATTTTTATATCAATTTACTTCTTAGAGATCTTACTTATTTTTAAACTAATTTTTCTATGACTGTCTATACCCATTTTCTTTTCTTTCTTCAGCATCTAAGTACATGTTTAAACATACTGTACCTTTTAAGAGGTTTTCTGTGTCTAGACCTGGCTTTACTAAGCATCTGCAGGGTTCTCTGACTGCAGGAGACAAATCTTAAAGTGCCATATCAGCAGCTGCCACACGACCCAGCTTAGTGCATGGCATGGGCACATCCTTTGGCTCCAGACCGCAGGCAGTGGCCAGTGTGAGCCTCTGTATGCCAAGCACTGGTTTGCCTAGGACACTGCAGGACTAGGAAGCCATGTCCAGCTCCTTGTCTAGGATTTTTCCTTAGCTTTCTCAGGCCTTTGAACTTCCACATTGGATACCATATGTAGACAGATTTTTTTTCCCCCTTTGGGCCACCAGCTCACCAAAAAAAGACATGGAGACTTGTTAATTATTATGAAAGCTTGGCCTTAGCGTAGGCCTGTTTTTAAACTAATTCTTGTAACTTAAATTAACCCATTTATATTAATCTACATCCTATCATGTGGCATCATCTCTCTTCCATCTTGCACCTCCTGTTTCCTCTCTGTATCTCCTGGTGTCTCTGTCCTTCTTCCCAGAGTCCTCTCTGTCTCCAGAAGAATGCCTAACATTTCTAGCTATTGGTTGTTCAGCTTTTTATTACACCAATCACAGCAATACACTTTCACATAGAGTATAAATATCTCACAACACATCTTAGCTACAAAGGAGCCTGGGAAAGACAGGTTCTGGCTTTGAAGTAGGGATGTGGAGAAGGATTTATGGCTTGGGAAGTTCCTCAAACATAGAAAAATATTCCAAAAGTGGCACTTTATGCTTCAGTTCTCTGGTCAGGGACCTTTTATTTTACCCAGATGGAAATCATGGGTAAGTGCTTCTATCTGTGATCTTTGGCTGTGTTTGTATCTCTCTCTCCCAGTGTTTGACAGTAATAGGTGAAGCAGGAGGCAGGTAGGTACCACAGTAGGTGGTGCCCTAATAGTGTTACAGCCCAGGGCATTTGGGACCATCAGCTTTGTAAGTATTGTATGGCTATTCTTGGCTGTCAACTTGACTGCATCTGGAATTAACTAAAACTCAAAAATGGAGGGTACACTTGTGAGTATGAAGTGTGAATGTCTACTTCTAATCCAGATCTTTAACTCAGATCTAACCTGGGCTGCACTTTTCTCTAGAAGTCTACGTAAGGACACAGAAGAAGGAAGCTTTTACTTCTTGAATACTTGCTCTCCCTCTTGCTGGCAAGTCCATTCCTTCACTGGCATTGGAACCAGATCCCAGCACATACAGACGACCAGCTGAGACATCCAGCCTTGTGGACTGAGCAACTACTGGTTTCTTGGACTTTCTGTTCATAGCCAGCCATTGGTGGATTAGCTGGATTATAGTCTGTAAGTCATTCTAATAAATGAGAGAGAGAGAGAGAGAGAGAGAGAGAGAGAGAGAATGAGAATTCATTCTGTAAGTTCTGTTACTCTAGAGAAACCTGACAAATACCAGTATATAGCTTGTATTATATATATGGGTAAGGCTAGGAAGTCAGGATTTCCTGGTCCTTGACAGCAGCTAGTGTCACAGCTTCTGAGCCTGGAGTGTCTTCAAACCATTGGCTCTAAAGACCAGACAGCCCTCTAGAAGCCTTGGGTGACCAGGGCTTGCAGTTTCTCTTCCCATGCTCCTTTCAGCCTTCTATGCCTCAGCTTGCCATTCTGTCTACTCTTATCAGACCCTTGCTTTTGCTCTGGCCATTTCCTGCAACTGTCAGTGTGCCCCTTCTTCAGCTGTCAAGCTGCCTGGTTCACTCTGCAGCTTGGCCTGCACATTGTTGAGCTGTTGCTGCTGCCATCTCTGCTACTCCAGTGTTTCTGCCATCACCACCTCCTACTGTCTCTACTGCTCCTTTCAGCACCATTAAAAGTAGACAAAACCACTTGAGAGAAGCCTCTTATTGAGTCTAATGTTGCAACACCGGTGGAGGCAGCGCAGGAGGGTGTCTCCCAGATGATGCATCAAGAACCAAATCTGTCCACTTAGGAAATGAGCATTTGGACCAATCACAGCATATCTCATGTACAAATGATGGTTTGTGTTTGCACCAATGATAGCACACCTAACACACATGGTTATTTGTGTTTACAGGTCTGTGGCAGTGCCTCTGCTAGGCCACCAGGGGAAGTGTGTTCCCTCTGTCCTGGGTGGAGATGGTTGTGGGATCATCTGAGTTCATTTGGGCTTCAGATAGTGAAGAGTCTGCTACAAACTGAAACAGTCTTGCCTGACTTTGTGTCTTCAGGAGCCAGAAAGAAACAGGGCAATCTTTGTGACCATGGAGTGTTCCAAACAGCTGCAACTGGCCTAAGGGTAGTTCACTTGACTGTTTGACTGGCAGTCTGCTCAAAGAAATCAAGGCAGACAGAATCCGATAGAGAATTCAGTAGTTGATAATTAGGGGGCACAATCTTTCCAATTCCCCAACATCTTTGCTTACTGACAAGAACATGAATATCAGTAGTACCTTCAATTAGAACTTAAAAACATATCATTAATAGTGATTTTTTTTTTCTTTTTGGTTTTCCAAAACAGGGTTTCTCTGTGTAGCCCTAGCTATCTTGGAACTTCTCTGTAGATCAGGCTGGCCTTGAACTCAGACATCTGCTTGCCTCTGTCTCCAGAGTACTGGGATTAAAGGCATGTGCCATCATGCCCAGCTAGTAGTAGCAATTTTTAAATGGAGTTTTAACAGTGCTTCATACCCACCCAGTGCCCCAGGAATAGGTGAATCTTTCTTATCTGTGTCAGTTGGAACGTGTATCTTTAATGGCTTTTGGGGGGAATTTATGGCATGATTGGCACACAAAGCTCTGGGCTTGTTCACCTTCTGGTAGTAAACAGGGCTTAGACTAGACTCTGACCATCACCTCAGGGATTGCCTTGGGATGGCATATGAACCAGTCAGAGCCAACTATTTTTACTGAAAGAAAAGAGGGTGTGGTCTGTGAGGACAGAGCATAGAGTCGCTGACAACAAGTTCTCACTGTAAGGAGCAATTAGGGATAGGAAGACCAAGTCTGGGTTTTTATTTATTTCTTTTTTGAGCCTTTGCTTACCTGAGTCAGTTACACTGCTGGGCTGTTCTGTTTCACAAGTAACTAAATCCTGTTTATTTGTTCAAAGACCATTTGCGTAGTTTCCTACCCAATGAGACCAGATTAATATTTTTATTTATACAACTCTTTGGGGCAGGTACTATTTATTAAGCCCATTTTACTTGAGAGAACTGAAACAACAAGACACTAAATAACTTGCCTAAGACCAAGTAACTACACAGAGGCAGAATTCACCCAAGGGCTTGAGACCTTAAAGCTGTCCTTAGCCAGTCTGCTCTTTGGTGGAGGGGGAAGGAGTCACTGAGGAAAGTGTGAAGTCTACCTGAGTTTAACCCCAGGAGGTCATGGGTTGAGAGGGACTTCAAACTTGGGCAAGCCAAGACCTTTTTGAGTGAGTAGAAACTTCATATGAAGTTGGTTCCTAGGTGGTTGGTTCCCTCTGGCAGGGAACATCAGGGTCCATTTCTATAGGGCCATGTCTGCTCTCCAGGCCTCCTTTTAAAACTCAGTTTTGGGGATTGGACCCAGAGCTTTGGATATGTTGAAGTCTTCTGCTGAGCTACGCCCCTACTCCTTGCTTCTTCGAGACAGGCTTTCATTGTTTAGCTCAGCCTGGCCTTGAAGTTTGGTATGTAGCCAAGGCTAGCCTTGAACTCTGTAACCCTTCAGTCTTGGCCTCCCCAGGCTGGGATAACAAGTATATGTCATCACATCCAGTTTCTCTCCTGGCTGACCCTACAGTGACCTGTGCTCAGCATTCGCCTGTTTTTCCAGGTACAGGGACTAAGTATTGGTTCTCAACTTGTGGGTCACATATCATATCCTGCATATAGATATTTACATCGCGACTCACAACAGTAGCAAACTTATGGTTATGAAGTACCAACTAAATAATTTTATGGTTGGGGATCTCCACAACATGAAAAACTGTATTAAATGGCTACAACATTAGGAAGTCTGGAGAACAACCGCATTAAAGGCACAAGCACCCACTGTCCCACTAACAAATGATTTCTAAGCAATTATAATTTTTTAAAGAGGAAAAAAAGTGTCACTTAATATTAACTTTAGCTTTCATTAAAAGCTTGGGGGGGTTTATAGGGAAATACACTTTTAAAAAAGGGCCACTTCAGACCACCCACGGGCCTGGCTGTGAGCAGACTGGTAGGGATGCAAGTACTCTTTCCCTTAGGTTCCGGGTTGACGTGGGCACCCAACCGAGACCTGAGCAGAGGCAGCCCAGGACGAGGAGAGGGGCTTTCTTTCCTTTCGAAAGGGTGGCTCCTGAGTCTGGGGAAACTGAGGCGGGCGCGCTCTTACATTGCCAGAAGACCTCGTTGGTTTTGCAGGGCGGGGCAGCGCAGGGCTGGCTCTGTTCCTAGGCAGATGGGTGGGTGAGGCATCCCGTTTGCGAGATAGGGGAGCGCAGGTGGCTGTGCCCGCAGCGGCACCAGGCCGGGTGGCCTCGGGCTCCCCGCCCCCGGTGGGCGGGCCCGGGGCGGAGCGCACAGGCGGGGTGGGCCGGGGACGCGAGGCGGAGCGGGGCCCCCGCACAGGCCGCGGCGGCTGGCTCGGCCCTACGGTCCCAGCGGCGGCTGCAGGAGGAAGCCCGGCGGCTGCGGAGGAGGGGAGGCGGAGAGGCCGAGGCCGCTCGCGAAGACGCTCCCCGGCTCCGCAGGGAAAGGTACGGCGCGGCCTCGCCGGCGCGGGCGCAGGCAGCCACGGCGCCTGGCAGGCGAGGGGCTTCCGACGGAGGCCGGCGATGGGCAGAGGCGGCTGTCCCGGGCGGCCACGACCTCGGGGTCCGGGCCGCATCCCCCGGGCGCCCGGCACGGCGGCGCAGACAAAGCCGGCTAGATACTCGGCGGCCCGGAGGGTGCGCGCCGGGGAGCGGAGAGAGCGCTGCTCGCGGCGGCGGCAGGGGCCCGGCATCCGCGGGTGTCTTTGGGACAGCGGGAAGAATGGGGAGCAGCTCTCCCGAGGGCCGCCCCGGGGCTCGCAGTCTGCCCCGGGTTTGGCGGGAGCCAGGTTCCCGTAGGGCAGGGGGAGTTGGAGCAGTCACTTACCCGGGAAGGGGTGCCGAGGCCGGCTGTCTGCCTGGGGGTGGCGCGGCTGTGGAGCAGGTGAGCGGTCCGCGGACCCCTCGGATCTTGCACCAGGAGCAAGCACCGCATCGTGCTTGATCCTTTTCCAGCCGTACCCACAGGTTGTTGGAAGTACTGGTAGTGTCACAGCGTGGCCCTGCCTGGGGTCCGCTTGGGGGAAACAGCAGGTGCTGAGCGGAGGTCAGCGGGGCTGGGGGTAAATGCAGGGTCAGGAAGGTAAGTAAATTGCCTTCGTATTTGCGTTCTGCTACCTCTTGCAGAGGAAGAAATATTGCTGTGCCTGAAGGGCCTTGCTTCCTCGTAGGCTCCTGGGCCCTGTGGCCATCCCTTATGTGTCCCCCAGGTTTCTTACCTGGCAGCTTGTGAGAACAGGCCTATGTCGTTCCTCTCATAGCAGTCTCCCTTTTGGGCCTTGAACCTCGCTCTCTTGAAGCCAGGGAGCCAGTTCCCATTATAGTGTGTCTTCTTCCGAAATTCCATCCTTAGCAGTGCCCCTAAGAGGCACCCCGCCCAGGTCTCCAGTGGCCACTCTAGCAGGCTTTGCCACCTAAAAGCTGTGTCCCAGAGTTATATTCTTCCCCGGGCTCTCCAGTTACTCCCTCCTGCCTGTCTTAGCCTGCTTTCCTACAGCCACTTCACCTAGCTCTTACATGTTGGAGGGCTCCAGGGCTCTGTTCTCAGCACCTTCTTTCCTGGCTCTCCTTTCCATCCCCCGTTTACTTTCTACCCCCGTTTTCATCCTTGTGATTTAAAAAAATTTATGAGCACAAATATATCATTTTTGATTTATTTTATGTGCACTGGTATTTTGCCTGGTGAGGGAGTCTGATTCCCCTGTTGTGAGCTGCCATATGGGTGCTGGGAATTGAACCCCAGGTCCTTTGGAAGAACAGCCAGTGCTCTTAACTGCTGACCCATCTCTCTAGCCTCGAACACAAAGATCTTAAGTGTTTCACGCTCATGATTTTGAATAGCAGATTTTGTCTCTGGCCCCAGGTGGGTCCCATCACTCTTCCGATTGACAGAAAACTTATGTGGATCTCTGACAACACGGGACAGGAACCTCTCTGATCCTGCCATCTGAAAATGACTGGTAATCTACCCATCTTTTAGGACAGCAGCATGAACTCCTTTCTGCCCACCCTTCACAGCCAGTCCCAGAACAAGGCCTTTTGGTTCTTTCTACAAAGTCCATCTAGGATCTATTCTCCATGCTCAGATTCTGTTGCTATCACTGCAGGCTACTTGCCCCAGGCCAAGCCACCTTTTAAGTCTCCTGAAGCACTACAGTAGCCCTCTCCCAGAGCTCCCACTAACCTTCTTTGCATCTATTTTTAACAGAGTAGCAAGAATAACATAGAACATTTTGATCAGATCATTTTATTCCTTGATAGCTTATGACACTTGAATAAAATCTCAAAGCCTCCCCGTGGCCTATCTGACCCTCTGTCATGTGGCCACTGATGATTTCCCAGCCTATTTGACTCTTGTCACCTTTATAGTCTCCCTGGCAGACAAATTGAGTCACATCTGTCTCTTCAACAATGTAAGCTTTTCTCCACCCCAGACTTTGCTTTTGATGCCTTCCTTGACTTGAAGATTATTTTCCAGCCCCCCTTTTTTCTCCCAGATACTCTTTGCTTATTTTTTTTTTATTCTAAATTTAAATATACCTTCCTCAGGTACCAGCCTGGTCTATGTAGAAGGCCCCTCCTCTACACGTGATTCACCATAGAACTTGCTTTACTTTCTTATTTTATATTTCAGAGTTGCTAACTCCCTGTTACAGTTGTCTTTACTTTCCTTGGGCTTCTTAAGGGCTAGAACCTTGACTGGTTGGCCCATTTCAGGTCTCCTAAAAGCTCTGTCTGTTGGCAAGTTGGCCCATTGCTGTATCTGATGCATCTTGCTTGGTGCCCTGTAGGTACCACTCAGGAAATCTTGAGCTGTAAGGGTGAAGTTGTGCTAGGCAGAAAGACAAGACTGTTTCAGTTAGCACAGGAGACTCTTAAAGCCTTAATTGATCCTGAAGAGTTTTGTTTCCACAAAAGCAGTTCTGCAAATTGCTGCAAGAATGTGAGCCAGCCAGTAGGATGTGGAAAAAGGGAAGCTGAGAAGATATAGCCAAATAATTTCCTTTGCTTTCTTGGCTGGAAATCAAGGTGTATGTGTTTGAGACAGTGGGTATGTGGAATGTAGGAAGCAGGGTCTCTAATTCAGGACACAGGAACAGCCTGGGATGTAGTTCAGTCTACTTCCTTGGGTGGCTTCTGCATGCTCAAACCCAGGGGGCCAGGGAGTTAAGAGGAAGAAGAAGCTGAGGTTGGGGGGTGTGCATTTTTATGAACCTTCATCTTGCTATCCTCAGCTTTCCAGTTTGCACAGAATAGTCAAGGGAGTGTTGAATCATGGGGCTAATACTTCGGAGTAGAGGGGGGAAAGCCAGGGGACCTCTGATAGGGAAGGCAGGGAGCCTAGGGTAGATCCAAAAGTCATACTGTGAGTCAGGTATTTGGGGTGAGGATGGCATATCTAGAAAATACCATGAACTGGCACAGGAGGGAGCAAAAAAGGAAAGGTGAAAAAATCTGGTCAAGGGCAAGTGGGTTGGCAAGGTCCTAGTGTGCTCAGTACGCACTAGGCATTGCTTAAGACTCTTCAGATTGACTCTAATGATCTTAGGAACCTTCATGGTTGTCCTTTCTTCCATTTTATTGAGGGCAGACTGGAGGTACAGTAAGTACTACAACTAATAGTGGTGGAGTGAGGTCTGGACCCAAACCATCTGGCTCTGGCATGCAGACCTCTTGGATTTTGGCCAGTGGAGGCTTAACAGACAAGGACCCTCCCTGCCTTGCAGAGGTGCCTGATACCCTTAAAAGCAGGAGTCTTGCTTGGGATGGGCTGCTAAGACTCTCTGCTTCTGACCTTCCTCTCCTCTGTGTCAGATAATTGGGGCTCATGCACACTGATATCAAGGTTCTGGGAGGATGACTTGTGCTTCTAGTCTTAACACTAATTAGAATGTCACCTCTTGGTTTATGTCCCTGTCACTGCTTCTGTGAATTCTTCCTCCCTGGAGAGGACAAAGCTCAATAGGGCTCCAGAGACAAGCTGGCCTTTTCACGATCCGGCCTAGAACAATGAGGCAGTGCTTCAAGCTTGACTCTTGGATAGGATGTTGAGTGCAGAGCCCAGGGATAAAGAAGATGGATTGGGAGTGGCATTGGCCTCGCTTTGCCTTGCTGTAAAATGGGATGAGAGAGACTTTTTTCTCTACTGCTGGAGGCAGTGGAGGTCAGCAGTTTGAAGGGGTGCCCGTTCTGGGGCCCAGGGCAGGGCAGCTGTGCCTGTGAGCCTTTTCCAGGGATATGTTGGATACATGACCCCTCTAGGCTATGGGCTGGCTGAGGAGGGGCTGCTGACTACATGGGGGTGATGCTTATTACAAATCTGAGCCCCAGAGTTTAGGGGATCTGTTCTTCCACTTGGGCAGATCCTCTGTCTCCTCCCAAGAAGAGAAAGCAGGATTGTTGAAATTCTCATCTGCATTTGGGGAAACTGAGGCATATATCAAGTACATTGCTGTAGTTGTCAGGAGGTTCATGGAGAAGGCCTGTCTATGCCTGTACCCTAGTTTGCTGAGTTCATTTGGAAGCGAGTGCAGAGCCTGTGCTGGACACTGGATTTTCTTAGATGTCATTGGCACCTGGAATCTCCTATGCCCAGCCTGGTGTTCAGAGGTAACAGGGACAAAGGGCGTTGTCCTCACTGTTGAGGAAATAAAAGAGAGCCAGCCAGGCCAGGTGCACTTTGGAGAGAAGCTTCCTGGAAGAAGTTGTGTTTTGCGAGTGTCTCGAAGCCTGTCAGAGGACTGGTGGCATCCCCAGAGTGGGAAACGAGGTCAGGCCTGGGGAAGTGGGTTGAAGCCAGGCTGGGAAAAAAACTTGATTGCGCAGCTGCAGAACCTGGACTTACACCAGGCCCCAGGGAACCACCGAAGGTTACAGGCCATGGCTGTCACAATATGATTAGAGCTGTGGTTAAAAAAAAAAAAAATGCTTCTCAGACTTGAGCACAGATATACCACCTGTTCAACTTAGTAAAATGCAGGTCAGTCCTGTCTGATTGAGTGCGTCCAGGGCAATGTCTGGGAATAATGCATTTCCCCCCTTTGCTTTTCTGTCTCTCTTGAGACAGTGTCTCACTGTGTAGCTGTTCTGGATAGAACTCTTTACATAGAACAAACTGGCCTCCAACTCGCAGAGACCTTCCTGCCTCAGCTCCCAGAGTGCTGGGATTAAAGATGTGCCTCATGCCTTGTTGAGATTGCATTTTTAAGAGCATAGGCTGTGTAGAATTACTACTCTATTGGCCACTTAGTGCAGTGAATTTGGACCTGTGTCTTGAGTGACAGTCTCAGTTTAGATGGTACCTACAGGAGGTTCCCTCAGTCCCTTGGAGGCTGTTTTGGCAGAGTTCAGGGAGCAGCCTCTGTTGGGGAAAGGAGCCGATGGAGGAAGTGCAGAAAGGCCTGTGGAGGATGCTTGTGAGTAGCCTGCTTGGAAGTAGGGCTAGA